TAGACATAGAGTCGATAAAAAGCTTCATATTGTTGTACAAATTTTGATCAATAGTAGTGTTTTGAAGCTCGATACCATGAAAACCACCTTGATTATGTTGCGTAAATATTATTCCTCCAATTTGTGATGGACACTATGTTCAACAGATTAAAAATCCAGTCTTGGAAGTTCAAAATCAATAATAATTTCATCAAATAATGATATGGAACACACACAGTATTTCAACAAATCAAATCCAAATACCAGTAACAGTTTATTTTTATACAAATTCAAATCACTAGAATAGTTACTTTTTTCCATTCTACAAAATTGAGTTCGGTTAGGTATCTCGGAGAGGTTGAGAGGAGACGACAAAGACAAAGATTTGAGTTTGGTTAGGTATCTCGGAGAGGAAATCACTATTGTTGAAGAGCGGGAAAGGCTTTCTATTGGGTTACGTTACTCAGGTTCGGGGTTTTAGTTGGTAGTTTAAGACGCATTATTTTTTTTTAAAATATATTTAATTGGATTAAAAGAGTATTATCAAATTAGTTAGTTATATATGGTATATGACATAATTTCCCTTAATACTACCACAAAAAAGACTGTGTCATGGGCTTAAGAGTGTCGACCCTTACACGATACTTCAATCTATTCTTGCTCTTTGTTTGAATATATTTGACAGATTGATGGTGGTAGCACAAAGGTGAAAACAGAAAATAGCCAGCTGGTGCAGATGAAGACAGCTGATGTGGAATTGATGCTGAGGTGGAATATGATTGTAAACTAACTCTTAACAAGAAATAATCTTATTCACTTCCGAATTGTACACTGCAACCTCCACCTCTACAAGTTCTTGATCGAGCACAACCGGCCTTTTCTACCAAGGGGCTAAGATCCTTTGTGATTCAAATGGAAACTTTATCTACAATCGCCTAGTCATTAACTGGGCTTTCTCATCAAACGCAAATGGCTCAACCTCATCAAAATATTTCAGTCTCCTCACGTGTCCCCATGTCATGCAAATTATCCGACACCAATTCCAAATGATTTAAAAACCTAGGGCACCGTTACTGCAATAATCGTTTCTCTTTCTCTAAGTGGATGAAATTGATCCTTTTTTTTTTTT